AAACAAAAAAAAAAAGGGACATAGTTTTGGTTAGCCTAAGGTTAGCAATGTTTTGGCTACAAATGCCATGTTAACCAATAAGCATCCCACAATATTTAAGGTTTGCTTGGTACCCAGTATATATCCCAGATTTCTTGAAACCTAAATAAGTGAAAAATTGGAAGGTGAGGGCATAATAGAGACCATATAAAGATGGGCAAATATATACATGCTTCTTTCTTTATTTGTTGTTATAGTTCAGTACTTCACAAAAAAACGAATATTACCACTAAGCCAGCAAGACCATCAAACTCAAAAGTAAAAGCTTGACAGACGTGAATGGTAGTTGGGGTGAGACCCATTTAAATATATTGTTAGGTTTGGGATTTGGTAACAGATCAAATAAAGTCTGCATTTGAGTTTTTTATATTGTGGTAGTAATCTACAAGTAAAAAAAGTTGCTTTTGGAAGGGCAAAAATAAGTTCTGGATTATCATAGACACCCCACTTCCTAAGTTAGGTCTTCTTGACACTCTCTTACTGGAAAACACGCAGCCTAACAAAATTCAGGCTGGGAACTCAATTAGTTAGTGCATTGGGAGTTACACCAAGGGGCAAAAATTGCTTTGAAGGTGGCGGATTGGGGTCAGCCTACCGGTTAGGCGAGGGGAAACATAAGAAGCCTTCTCGTGCTGTCGGATTGCCTTGCCAATAAAGATGAACAAAACAGCCGGGCGCGGTGGCCTCAAGCCCTGTAATCCCGCACTTTGGGAGGATCCCGAGACGGGCCGCATCACGAGGTCAGCGAGATCGAGACCATCCTGCTAACACAAGAAACCCGGCCTCTACCTAAAAATACAAAAAAACATTAGCCGGGCGGGTGGCGCGGCACCTGTAAGCACCAGCTACTTGGGAGCTGACGGCACGGAGAACTGGCGGAACAAGCGGGAGGCGGAGCTTGCAGTGAGCCAGATCCGCCGCCACTGCACTCCAGCCCGGGCGACAGAGCGAGACCTCTGCCTCAAAAAAAAAAAAAAACAAAAAAAAAAAAGATGAAACAAAACAATGGCATCTGTCTCATGGGTTGTGTGGAGACTCAACTAGAGGATGAACTTGAAAGTCGTGGGCATGAGGTATGACCCATAGACTTGCCACTAACAGTTAGCTCGCTGGGCACGGTGGCTCAAGCCTGTAATCCCAAGCACTTTTGGCAGGCCGAGACGGCCGGATCACAAGGTCAGGAGATCGAGACCATCCTGGCAACCACGGTGGGAAACCCCGTCTCTACTAAAAAATACAAAACTTATACTAGCCCAAGGCGAGGTGGCGGCGCCTGTAGTCCCAGCTACTCGGAGGACTGAAGGCAGGAGAATGGCGGAAACCCGGGAGGCCGGAGCTGCAGGAGCGAATCCAGCCACCAGCACTCCAGCCTGGCGCACAGAGCGAGAACTCCGCTCAAAAAAAACAAAAAAAAAAAAAAACCAGTTAGCTTCGCATTGTTTCTATAGTTGTATTTTTTACAGTTGAATAAATACAGCCAGGCAACAGTGACTGATGCCTGGAATCCTCGAGCACTTTGGAAAGGACTAGGTGGGTGGACCCACTAGCGCTACGAAGTCCAAGACCATCCCAGGCAACATGGCAAAACCTCGTCTCTACAAAAAATAGAAAAATAAGCCAGGCAGGTAGTGTGCACCTGTAGTCCAGCCACCAAGGAGGCTGAGTGGGAAGACTGCACGAGCCCAGAGACAGGTTGTGGTGAGCCAAGATTGCATCACTGGCATTCCAAGCCTGGGTGACAGAACGAGAGCCTCTCAAAAAAAAAAAAAAAAAAAAAAAAATTGATTTGAAGTCAACCTTTGAGTTCGAATCTCACTTTGCCATTTACACAAAGGCAACCTTTAAGCATGTGACTCTTCTCAAGCCTTTACTTTTTTTTTGTTTTTTTTTTTTTTGAGACGGAGTCTCGCTCTGTCCGCCCAGGCCTGGAGTGTAGTGGCTGGATCTCACCTCACTGCAAGCTCCGCCTCCCTGGGTTACACCATTTCCTGCCTCAGCCTCCCCAGTAGCTGGGACTACAGGTGCCCGCCACCTCACCTGGCTAGTTTTTTGTGTTTTTTAGTAGAGACGGGGTTTCACCGGGTTAGCCAGGATGGTCTCGATCTCCTGACCTCGTGATCCGCCCGTCTCAGCCTCCCAAAGTCCTGGGATTACAGGCTTGAGCCACTGCGCCCGGCCTCAAGCTTTTACTTTTACTTTCTTTTCTTTTTTGAGACAGAGTTTCATTCTTGTTGCCCAGGCTGAAGCACAATGGCGTGATCTCAGCTCATCTCAAGGTTCAAGTGATCTCAGCTCACCTCCCGGTTCAAGTGATTCTCCTGCCTCAGCCTCCCGAGTAGCTGGGATTACAGACATGTGCCACCACGCCTGGCTAATTTTGTTTTTTTATTGTTGTTGTTGTTGTTTCAGTCGAGACGGGGTTTTTCCATGTTGGTCAGGCTGGTCTCGAACTCTCGACCTCAGGTGATCTGCCCACCTCAGCCTCCCAAAATGCTGGGATTACAGACGTGAGCCACTGTACCCGGCCTACTTTTATTTTCTAAGAACTGGAAGAAGGGTATCTGTTCAGTAGGCTTGTTCTGGGGATTGACAGCATTTCACTGAGGGACTAGCAAACAATATGAAGAGACCCAGTTCAGCTTCACATTTAATTCAAGCCCCGTTCCATCTGAGACAGAAAAACATCATCTTAGTTCATTCGGGGCCCACCTAAGTCTTTTTAGATTGAAACAAACTCATCAATTGACAATGAAACCTGTCACCACCCCCCACCTCAAGGTGGTATCTAAGTTGCAGGAGACTGACGAAGGAGCCAAGTGCGCTAGGAAGCTGCTGGTCCTCACTCAATGTTTCTTCTCTCTGCTGTTCATGAGATTGATGGTTTTTGTACAAACGTTTGTCACCACTGTGTGCTGGCATCCAGTGCGAGGCCCACATTACCTTTGGATCTCTAGGCATACCATCCTCTTCATCTTCTGGTGGTGATCCCTCATCCGGGCTGGGACTCTCACTCCACCACTTCCACACCCTTCCAGAGCCACGGAGGTGGTTACCTGCTTTCCTGTGAAAGGGAAGAGGCTGGGGTCACTGTCCACAGCCTCTGCCTCATTTCCCCAGGTCGGGGTGGGTGCTTATGGTGGGGAGATGTGGCTTCTCTGGGGCAAGAGAAACAGAAGAGAGACTCCTCTGGTGTCCCTGAGCTGTTAGCCAAGTCGCTGTCCCTCGCTCATTTTCCTGAAGGATCCCAAACCCCACCCAGGCCTTGACAAACCGGAGAGCACAGGGCTGGGGTGGGCAGAGGTCTGGAGACAACCCACCAGTGAGGCCTCTGCTTTCACAAGAAAGTAGCATCTCTATTATTCTCACACCGTGATGACTCTGAGAGTGCTCTGGGAAGTGCACGCAAGGCCTGTCAGATCCCAAGACGTCCAGGGCTCTGTGGTTTTCCATCCATTCCCTCCACCCCTCATCGCTAGCCCTGGGTTAGGGGAAAACTCCAGGCTTGTTTTCAGCCTATTCTCTTCTCTGACTGTCCTGCATGCCACCCCCAGCTCTAAGGATCTCTGCCTAGTCCAGGTAGATCATGTATTCCCAAAAAAAAATTTGTCCTACATGTACGGTATGTTTTTTACACTGAAATCCAAACACTTTTTGCTATTTTCTGGCTCTTCCATGAAAACTCACCCCCTTGAGGCAATGGGAACCTCACAGCAGGATGACTCTACCGTGTGAGACATGGAGTGCAGGCAGGATGTGACAGTTTATTTCAGAACATCCCTTTTTAAGAATGAAAAACTTGCCAGCCACGGTGGCTCACACCTGTAATCCCAGCACTTTGGGAGGCCGAGGTGGGTGGATCACCTGAGATCAGGAGTTCGAGACCAGCCTGGCCAACATGGTGAAACCCCGTCTCTACTAAAATACAAAAATCAGCCGGGTGTGGTGGTGCACACCTGTAATCCCAGCTACTCGGGAGGCTGAGGCAGGAGAACCGCTTGAACCCGGGAGGCAGAGGTTGCAGTGACCCAAGATTGCACCAGTGCACTCCAGCCTGGGTGACAGAGCAAGACTCCATCTCAAAAAAAAAAAAACTTTCTGGCTCAGCATGGTGGCTCACACCTGTAATCCCAACACTTTGGGAGGCCAAAGCAAGACTGCTTAGGCCAGAAGTTTAAGACCAACCTAGGCAACATAGTGAGAGCCCGTCTCTACAAAATAAAAAGACAAAAAAAGTAAATAGAAGAATGAAAGGCCAGGCACGGTGGCTCACGCTTGTAATCCCAGCACTTTGGGAGGCCGAGATGGGTGGATCATTTGAGGTCAGGAGTTCGAAACCAGCCTGACCAACATGCTGAAACCCCGCCTCTACTAAAAATATAAAAATTAGCCAGGCATAGGGGCAGGCATCTGTAGTCCCAGCTACTTGAGAGGCTGAGGCAGGGAAATCGCTTGAACCCGGGAGGCAGAGGTTGCAGTGAGCTGAGATTGTGCCTCACTGTACTGTAGCCTGGGTGACAGAGCGAGATCCTGTCTCAAAAAAAAGAATGAAAAACTTTCCCTGAAGCCCCCTGGCAGAACTTCCTGCATTACAGTTCACTGCCATTCAACCATTATAACCAGACTACATGGGTAATATGGCCACTGACGGGTCCAGAATGTTTTTGGCTCCAGGGAACAAAGAAATGATGGCTTCAATCTGCAGGACACTCATTTCCTTAACCAGAGGTTTAGAAGAAGGTGTTCTCTGGGAAGAAGGTAGTCTCTGAGTGGTTTGGTGGCTCCCTGGCTGCCTGTGGCCTCATGATTGCAGATGACTGCAGCAGCTCCAATCTCATGTTCTCATTCAAAGTAGGAAAACGTGGTGCAAAGGGGAGCCGGGAAATGCCCCTCTCATGGCTCTTTTCATCAGAAGCCTCTCACCCCACCCCCAGCAGCTCTTAATCTCACTGGCCAGAACTGGATCACATAACACCCCCAGCTGCAAGGGAGCCCAGGAGGATATCTGACCTTTTTCAGCCTCTAGAGTGGCAGGTGAACAAGTGAGAAGGGGTGAGAATGACTGCTGGGTTAGCTCACCAGCTGGGCTTCCTGCATCTGCCAAGATTTCCACCTTGACTCACTCCCATGGCTGGGGCTGGGACCCATCTGCCCTCAGACAGAGAGAGTAGATCCCTCGACAAAAGCAGAAGGAGTAAGCAGGGTAAATAGCAACCAGCAGTCTCATCTCTGCCTCCTCCCCACCAGGAAGGCTTGCTGCCAGGTCGAGTGCCTTGTGCAGCGTCTGGGACACCCTCGGCCCTCGATAAACTGGAGCTATTCTTGGTTCCCTCCCCTCTACCTTCCCCCTCCACACAGCTGCCTACAAAGCATCTATAGATTGAGTTCTCAAGTTACAGTAGAATAATGCTGGAGTAACAAGACACTCAGACACTGAAGATCCAGGCAGCCTTCCTATGGAGAACCTACAGAGCTGGCTCAGGTTACTGCAGAAGGAGGCAGGAGCAGCTGAGTAACCAGGTTCCCTGCCGGGTGGCCCAGGGTCTGGCCTGCAAATCCCTACCAGGTGGACAGATGTTGACACAGCACTCCTTTCCTGTCCTTCCTCTGCCCTTCACCTGGCAGCCCAGGCCCACGGAGACTGAGAGGCAGAGCAGCTGATGGAGGACTTGGAGCTGGCTGGAGAGAGGGAGAGGCTGGCCTTGGTATATCCCCTGGTGTGCCAAGAGGAGGAGTGTGGTGAAAGGGAACTCTGGACTGCCTCCATGCCCCAAAGTGCATTTCCCCAGTGACCCCTTCGCCTTGAAACCCTGTGCAACTTGATAGGTTTTTGGTGCCCCTAAACTTTGGACTGGAATCTGGGCCATTTTTTGCACAGGTCCCATTTTATGGCTGGCATGGGTTGCCTTCTCCGGCCTATTATTTTCCCAGCTAACTCCTCAGCCTTGAAGACTCAGCAGCACCTCCTCAGGAAGCCTGTTAGTGCTCCCGTGGTACCCAGGCCCTAGGCTTCATCGGAGCCCACCTCGTGCATTGTTACCTGCTTCTGCATCCATCTCCACCTCTAGAACCTAATTCCCTTTGTGTCCCATTCTCTCCCAGGGCTGTGTCTGGCTCAGATGAGAGTCTGAGGATTATAAACACAGGATTTGGAATCACACAGATTTAGGTTTGAGTCCACTTACCATGTGACCTTGCCAAGTCTCAGCCTCTCTACTCCTCTTTAAAATTGGAAATGATTATACTATTAATAGTTAGGGCAACCAGACATGGCATTCCTCCTGAATGGCACAATTTGATATATATAGCACCACCCAATCTTGTTAGAAAATTGAACAAGAGTCTGGACAAGGCCCTGGACCTACCTACCAGTTTATAAGAAATAATGATAGAGGAAAGTGGTGAACATAACCGCAGGGAACAAGAGCTCAATCAGCCTAATCTGAACGCACCAATCCTACGGGACAAGGGACCTGCTTTCTTCCACAGAATGAGGCCCTAAAGAGTACCAGGGTCGGGGTGGAGGAGGGAGAAATTACTGTCAGATTAGGAGAAGTAAGAGATTTCAACCAAAAACAATGGTGGACCTTGTTTGGATCCTCAGTCAAAGTAAATGTAAAGAAATCTCTGTAAGACAACCAAAATGAACAAGGAGCACAGGCCGGGTCCAGTGGCTCACCCCTGTCATCCCAGCACTTTGGGAGACCAAGAAGGGCAAATTACCTGAGGTCAGAAGTTCAGGACCAGGCTGGCCAGCGTGGTGAAACCCCGTCTCTACTAAAAATACAAAAGTTAGCCAGGTGTGATGGCGTGCACCTGTAATCCCAGCTACTCAGGAGACTGAGGCAGGAGAATCACTTGAACCTGGGAGGCGGAGGTTGCAGTGATCATGCCATTGCACTCCAGCCTGGGCAACAAGAGTGAAACTCTGTCTCAAAAAAAAAAGAAAAAGGGGGCACAAACTTTCTAGTATGAGATGATACTGAGTTATTGTTAATTTTGTTAAGTATGATCGTGGTGTTGTGGTTTTGCTAAAGGAAGTAAGTCCTCAAGTAGGGGAATAAATGCTGGAGTAACTACAGGTGAACTAATATGCCTGCAATTTGCTTTAAAGTAATCTACTTAAGACATCTAGAGGAGAGCCAGGTGCGGTGGCTCACACCTGTAATCCCAGCACTTTGGGAGGCGGAGGCAGGTGGATCGCCTGAGGTCAGGAGTTCAAGACCAGCCTGACCAACATAGTGAAACCCCGTCTCTACTAAAACTACAAAACTAGCTGGGCGTGGTGGCACATGCCTGTAATCCCAGCTACTCAGGAGGAAGAGGCAGGAGAATCACTTGAAGCCGGGAGGCAGAGGTTGCAATGAGCCGAGATTGCACCATTGCACGCCAGCCTGGTCAACAAGAGCAAAACTCCGGCTCAAAAAAAAAAAAAAAAAAAAAAAAAAACTCAGTTAACAAACATCTTAGTAAACAAAGCTGAGAAAATGCATATAATTATTGAAGCTGGGTGATAGATAATGTGGATAACAGGCTGCTTATGTTCTTTTGATTTTAAAATTGGGGATAAGAAATGAATCAACACATGCAAAATGCTCAGTAAGTGTTAGCGATTATTAACCTATCTAATCCTCACAGCAATCCCATAAAGTAGTTCCTAGTTTAACTCTGTTTTTGTTGTTGTTGATGTTGTTGTTGTTTTCTCCTGAGACAGAGTCTCGCTCTGTTGCCCAGACTGGAGTGCAGTGGTGCGATCTTGGCTCACTGCAACCTCTGCCTCCCCGGTTCAAGCAGTTCTCCTGCTTCAGCCTCCTGAGTAGCTGGGATTACAGTCTTGCGCTACCATGCCTGGCTAATTTTTGTGTTTTTGTATTTTTAGTAGAGACGGGGTTTCACCATGTTGGGCAGGCTTGTCTGGAACTCTTGACCTCGTGATCCACCCGCCTCAGCCTCCCAAAGTGCTGGGATTACAGGCGTGAGCCACCGTGCCTGGCCTAGCTCCATTTTTATAGATGGGGGAGCCACACTCAGAGAAATTAAAGCTGAGGTCCCACCAGAATGGTGGGAGGAATTAAATGGGTTAAAACATGAAGTGCTTAGCATGAGGCCTGATGCATATCAGTCAAGTGTTTAGCAAATGTCTGCTGTTAATTTTAACATCACCATTTGCTGAAGTGAATGTGACCCGCCATTCCTTCTTCTAGAATGGGAAACTGCTGGCCGAGCGGGATGGAGTGAAGAAGAGAAGTCAGGAACTGGCCATGGAGAAGGACACTTTGAAGGTGCCACTCCTTCCTGGTGCCTGACAACTTTCCACCACCCTGGGGCCATTTTTCCCATTTCCGGTTTTAGTGACTGCAGCCTGATGAGAGCAGGGTCTTCCATCAAACTGTCAGACTCCCAGGACCACCCAGGCATCCCTAAAATCCCTGAAGTCCCGGAACATCTCAGGAGGTTGAATCGGCGGGGTGCGGGAGAGCAGGGCAGGCCAGACGGAGGGCAGGACCGAGGGGAGTCCTGGGAGGTTGGATGGATGGACCGGCTCCTTTCTTGGCAGCGGCAGCTCTTTGAGTGTGAACACCTCATTTGCCAACGAGACACCATCCTCTCTGAGGTGAGGGGCCTGGGGAGGGAAAGAGATTTGCCTTCCGTGTGCGCCAGCCACTTCCTGCCCCTGGTCTAGAAAGGGAAGTCCTCCTCGGGTCTGGTCCTTGGATGTGCAGGTGGAGAGATTGGAGGGATTCCCCAGGTCCCAATGTGACCCCTCAGGGATCTAAAAGCCCTTCTGCCCGGTGCTCTCCCTTGGGCCCCAGCTCTTCTCTCAAGCTCACCGTTGTCCCTTAACCCCCCAGCCAGTCCCCCCACCACCACCCCCCACTATGTCTCTGGGGAACTGGTCCCAGTCTCATTTGGCTTTCGGCTTTCCCAGCGCACTCGCCATGTGGAGAGCCTGGCCCAGACCTTGCAAGAATACAGAGTGACGACGCAGGTAACTCAGCGGCCCTGGCCACTTCTCTTTTGCCATCTCTGGGACTTGCTGCCTCTCCTCCTCATTGCTCTTTCTCTGTCGGTGGCCACATCTTGCTTCTTCTATCCATAATGTATGACTGTATGACTTACTGTGTGTCTCACCCTCTGTTTCTGTATCTGCCTTTTCACTTTTTTTCTGTTCCTTCCTTCCATTCACTTTCATTCTCTGTGGGTGTCTTCTCACACACCCCTCCTTATCTTTTTTTTTTTTTTTTTTGAGACAGAGTCTCGCTCTGTCACCAGGCTGGAATGCAGTGACGCAATCTCGGCTCACTGCAACCTCTGCCTCCCAGGTTCAAGCAATTCTCCTGCCTCAGCCTCCCAGATAGCTGGGCCTACAGGCGCACGCCATCATGCCCAGCTGATTTTTGTATTTTTAGTAGAGACGGGGTTTCACCATGTTGGCCAGGATGGTCTCGATCTCTTGACCTCATGATCCACCCACCTCGGCCTCCCAAAGTGCTGGGATTACAGGCGTGAGCCACCGCGCCCAGCCTCCCCTCCTCATCTTTATGTGTCTCTGCCAGGCTTGTGTGGGTTCCTGTCTCTGCCTCTAGGTCTAGGCTGTCTGTCTCCCTAGGCAAGTCTTCTCTGTTTGGCTCTGGTCTTTACCAGTCTCTTAGCCCTAGTGTTTCCCTTGCCTGTCTGTGAGTCTGTTTCCATTTATGTCTTTCATTTTTTCATGCATCACTGCCTCTGCCTTCCTTCTCTTAATTTTCCTGGCTGTGCTTTTTGTTTTGTTTTGTTTTGTTTTTCTTTTTTGAGACGGAGTCTGGTTGTGTCGCCCAGGCTGGAGTGCAGTGGCACAATCTTGGCTCACTGCAAGCTCCTCCTCCTGGGTTCAAGCGATTCTTCTGCCTCAGCCTCCCAAGTAGCTGGAACTACAAGTGCGCGCCACCGTGCCCGGCTAATTTTTTGTATTTTTAGTAGAGACGGGGTTTCACCCTGTCAGCCAGGATGGTCTCGATCTCCTGACCTCGTGATCTGCCCTCCTGAAGTGCTGGGATTACCGGCGTGAGCCACGGCTCCCGGCCTCTTGGCCTGTGCTTTGGCTTCTGGATTCCTGCTGCTCTCTGTCTCTCTTTGGCTTCCTAACATTCTGTCATGGCTTTCTGCCCTTTGTCCCTAGGCAGTGTGTGTCTGGGGAGGCCAAAGTAGTCAGGAAAGTGGAAAGAACCCTGGAAGAGGAACCCAGGGATGAGAAAAATGGAGAGCCAGATGTGCCCCCCACTTCCTCCTTTGCAGGAACTGAGGCTGGAGATTTCACGCCTGGAGGAGCAGCTGAGTCAGACCTATGAGGGGCCCGATGAGTGAGTGGAACTTCATAGGGTAGGAGGAGGCAGGAGGGGAGCCTAAGAGCAGAGACACCCTGGTCTCCAGCCCCAAGGTGGGCAGGGAAGGGAGGCCAGCATGAGCCGACTGAGTGGCCACCAGGCACAAAGGCCGCCTTCCCCCCTCCTCCCTGTGTGGCCAGGCTACCTGAAGGGGCCCAGCTGAGAAGAGTAGGCTGGACCCGGCTGCTGCCCCCATCGCTGGGCTTGGAGATCGAGGCCATTCGACAGGTGGGCCTAACACCCCTGGAATAAGCTGCAGGCCACTAAGGCAGGATCTCCAAACATCTCCCCACTCTGATCCTCACACCAGCCTAGCCCTAACCCACATTGCTGCCAGAGGCTCCCATCGCAACCTTAGCTTTTCTCTAACTCTATCTCGGATCCTAACCCCAAACCCACTGCCAGCCCCAGGCCTATGCCAGACCCCAGTCCGATCCAGCTGTGACTCACCCCTATCTCGTCTCCCTCCATGACCATCTCACTCCTTAACTTCATCTCGAACCCAGACCTCGGTCCTGGCAGCAAACCCTCCCCTGTTCCTGCTTCTGCCCACTCCCCACACCAGCCCCACACCAGCTCTTTTCTACCTCTCATCCTATTTTCAGCCACACACCTAAACCCGTTTCTGTCTCTGACCTTGTCTTCTACCTTAACATGGCTCTCCCTGACCTCGGAAACACCTTCTGTCCCAGAATCAGGAAGTGGCAATTGCTGGTCTCTCCAACCCTCTGTGTGGGGTGTGGCAGTGGGAGGAAGTCATCCATGATACCAGTGAGGATGCTGAGTTTCCATCTGAAGCCCCAGCTGGGGGACAGGTGAGCACAGGAAAAGCTCTGAAGTCCAGGAGCTGGAAAGGGGCCCGGAGCGCCAGGTGCCGCCCTGGCCAGCCCATTCACTCACACCTTTGCTTGTTCCCCATTTGATGAGAAAATGTTAATTGAGAGCACACTGTGTGCTGGACACCCAGCCACAAGCCAGACCAGACACCACCCCTGCCCCAGGGACTGACCTGCCAGCGTTGGAGACAAAGGTGAACAAAGCAAACACACAAATTGCACTGTGGCTTTTAGTGTCGTTTTGTTTTAGAAAACACGCTCAGGAATTGCGTGATTTAAAATTGTACTACTGTAGGAAGGGAATAAGCAAGTTGTTTATGCTAACATTTTAAGGATATATTAAGCATTTATGTTTCAAATATAAGTACCTTTAAGAAAAGCCAGCAAGCTCACTATGACATCTTTAACTCAGCAATAACCATTGGGTTTTTTTGTTTGTTTGTTTTTTGTTTTTAGAGATAGGATCTTGTCTTATTCTGTTGCCCAGAGTGGAGTGAACTTGACTCACTACAGCCTCAACCTCCTGGACATAGGCAATCCTCCCACCTCAGCCTCCCGAGCCACTGGGACTACAGGCACCTGCCACCATACCCGGCTAATTTTTGTGTTTTTCAGTAGAGACAGGGTTTCACCATGTTGGTCAGGCTGATGTTGAACTCCTGGTCTCAGGTGATCTGCCTGCCTTGGCCTCCCAAAATGCTGGATTACAGGCATAAGCCACTGCACCTGGCTTTTTTTTTTTTTTTTTTTTTTTTTTGAGACAGAATCTCACTTTCTTCTCTGTTGCCCACGCTGGGGTGCAGTGGCATTATCACAGTTCACTGCAGCCTCAATCTCCCTGGACTCAGGTGATCCTCCCACCTCAGCTTCCCAAGTAGCTGGAACCACAGGCGTGTGCCACCATGCGTAGCTGATTTTTCTATTTTTTGTAGGAATGAGGTCTCCCTACGTTGCCCAGGCTGGCTGAACTCCTGGGCTCAAGTGATCCTCCTACCTCAGCCTCATGATTTTATGCCAAGGACTTGCACAGGCTGTGCCAGTGCCTCGAAGAGTGCTGGGATTACAGGCATGAGTCACTGCTCTGGGCTCTCTCTCTCTCTCTCTTTTTTTTTCTTTTAAAGAAAATGTTGTAAACAGCTCTGTAAACGATGCTGTATTGTCTTGAGGACTGTACCACTTCAAAGCTCTTTGCCATCCTTCAGGAGAGACTCATTTCTCTGATCACTTTTTCCCTGGTTTGAGAAAAGCTTCTGTGTTTCTCGTGGACAGCAGAGCTTGTTTGGGTTCTCACTGAACCCTTCCGGTGTTTCTGTAAGGCAGGCATCCTCATCTTGTTACTCATGGGAAACTGAGGCTCAGGGAGAAATCACATGTCCATGGTCACACAGCTTGTTGGGGACAGAGCCTCATCCCTCAGACGTGTCAGTCAGATTGGGCTTCTGCTTTGAGCTCTCAGATGCCCCTGAGAGACAGGTTTGTCAAGGGGAAGACTGAGCCAGGCCTCAGGGTGCAACCTGCGATGGGCCCAGGCATACAGAGCTGAGTCCCTTAGGGCCAGGCCTCTCAGTGCTCAAGGCCTGATAGGAGAGACCCTGCAAATGGGTTGGCCCAGTGCAGAATGATCATTGTGCTAGAGGTGGGGGATGGGCCTGTGGCAGCCCAGAGAAGGGGTATCTGTCAGGTCAGAGACTGGGGGAGATATTGAAGAGAAACTGATACTCAAGTGGAAGGAAGGAAGAAAGGAAAGGGAGGGGAGGGGAAGAGGGGGAGGGGAGGGGGGGGGGGGGGGGGGGGGAGAGGGGAGGAGGGGGAGGGGAAGGGCAGGGGGAGGGAGATTAAGTGGTTGGAGGAAAGAGAGGCCTTCTAGGCACTGGCACAGCCTGTGCAAGGCCTTGGCATAAAATCATGATATGCTTGAGGAGTAGAGGGTAGCTGGGGGTGACTAGTGAGAGATGAGGCCAGGGCCAGATCATGAAAGGAAATCTCTGACAAGCTAACAGATTGTACTTTTCTTCGTAAAGCCACAGGAAGAGTGGGGTCAGCTCTGGGCATGAAAAGATCCCTCTGGGACTATGTGAGGGACCTACTGGAGGCAGGGAGGAGGCTGGAGCAATGGTGATGAAGCCTGAGCCAGGCCAGGGCCCTAGGGATGGAGCAAAAGGGACAGACAGACATAATTGGGGTGGAGGGACAGAGCGGGGATCAGATGGGATGTGGGTGATAGGGAGGGAGGAGAGGAGGAAAGACTTGGAACTTGTGACCTCATGGGGTGAAATCTTGAGGGATGTCTGGGGGCTGCCTGGAAGCAGTTGGGTGCACCAGCCTGGAGCTCAAGGATTGCATTTAAAAAACAATGTCAAGTTGGTTGTTGAGGTCAAGGGCAATGCTGATATGTCTCTGGAGAAACCAAGAGGTACTTGGGTCCTGAGGGGGAGCAGATGGACCCAGCCCAAGTCTAGGAACCTGGGATGAGAAGGCGGTTGGACAGGGAAATGCTGATCTCCTCTGGGACCCAGATAAGTGTACAAGATCTGTGGAACATTCAGGAAGTTTAGGCGACCGGGACTCCTGGGTCCTGTCAGAGAAGGGGGCTTGGTGGCATCGAGAACAACCCTTTGGTTTTTGGCTTCTGCCCTCAGGGGGATAGTAGGGCCATCCTCATGTAGGGGAGCACAAGAGGAGGGTAGGTTGTAGAAGGTGGTGAATTCATGTGCAGGTTGCAGCCTGGAAGACCTTTTGCATATGGGGTCTGGGACCAGCGGGGAGACAGTGGGCACTGTTAGGGTTGGAGCTTTGAGTGAGAAGAATCAGAGAAGAACTAACCTTTTTGTTTCCACAGAGAAACTTCCAGGGACAGCCAGCGCACCATGGAGAGGGAAGGAAGGAGCCATCCATGTGGTAAGGAGCTGAGCCATCCATCTGCCTCAGCGTGACACCCGATTCACAGATGTTTAGAGTAGGACTGGGTGAGCCCTGAGGGGGTCGGCATGCCACTCATTCACTCATTCTTCACCTCTTCCCAGAGCAGACCCTGGACCTGCAGGCCAGGAGATGAGGCCTGGCCCTGCCCTCAGGTCTAGGAGGAGATCTGGTTCCTGACACTGCCTCGGGGGAAGGCTCTTAGCGAGGCCGAGGCAGGCCACCATGCCTGAATGGAGCCCTGTGGGAGTGGCGTTAGTATAGGAAACTCTTAGACAAGAAGACACAATTGTCAGGCAGAAGGGACAGCTCAGTCACATGGTCATTCTCTCACTGAACACACCTTTCCCGAGGCTCCAGGGAACCTCTTTGGAGAGCTCCCAGTCAGCTGGGAGATCTTGGGGGTAAGGGGGGCCTCTGGAATCAGCGTGGATTCAGATTCCAGCTCAGGTACTTTGCAGTCAGGCTGGTGTGAGCATTTGGTCGTATGCTGTGAAGTCCCAGCCCTGTGATTGGGATGTGATTGTTAAGAGGCTGTGTCCAGGCCTCTGAGGATGGAGAAAGCACTAGATGACTGGGCCCACCCTCCTCCAGGGCCCTGGCCTTGGGGTCTCTGGTTTCCTGTGTTGCTTCCCTCTCCCCCTCCCCTCTTTCAGGCTCCCAGCTGCGGCTACTAATGAGGCTGCCTGCCAAGGCCTCTAATTGGACTTGTCTGGGAAGAGCTGAGATTGGGCGGGATGGGAGCTCTGGAGCTATGACCTCCCTTTGCGTCACCAGAGAAAGGAGGGGAGAAGGGGCTGAGCAGTAGTGGAAGTCGGGAGGGCAAGTGCCATGCGAGTTTCCGAGTTTCCAGAGGGCAGGGGCTGTTTGATCCGCAGGTTGGAAAGCTGGGAGTGAGGAAGCTGGTGAATACAATGGCCCCTAAAGGTAGCCAGCGGTGAGGACTTGGACCTTGAGAGGGGTTGGGTCCCAATTAGAAGTTTCAGGGGATCAGACAGTGTATGTCTGACTGGGGCCTAAAAGCCTAGATCCCTTATTGCGTGGGAGCACAGCTGTATTCCTGAGGGTATCTCTGAGGGTTTTGGGTCTGAAGCTGGTGGTAGTGGCAACTGCAGGGCTGAATCTCTGCTCCCCAGTGAAGGCAGTGGCTGGTGGTGTGGATGGCTGGGTCTCTAAGGGGCATTCAGGCTGGGCAGCTTGAGGCCTGAGTCCCCAAAGCAGCATTTCAGGGACTCAGAGGGCTATGACCCTAGGAGGGGCCTCCCTAGGAGCCTTCCCCCGAGGCAGAGTTGGGAGCCAGATGTCCTCCTAGACCAAGACTCTGAGACTCGCTGAGGGCAGGGCCAGGTCTCATCTCCCAGCCCATAGGCCCAGGGTCTGCTCCTTGGAAGAGGTGAGTGAATGAGTGAATGAGTGAATGAGTGAATGAGTGGCATGCTGACCCCTCAGTCCTCCTGGAAGAGGGGCTTGCACACCTGAGAGGACTGGGCATGGGGAAGAGCTCCAGCAGTTGGGTTCTGTGGGCTGGGAGGTCTGAGTTGGAGTCCCAGTCCTCAGACAGTACCCAGTGACAGCCATTGAAAAATGGCTCAACCCACTAGACAGGAAGGGCGTTTCGACACGTGCTCTGGGGCCTTACAGAGGCCTGAATCTCTGGTACTTTGGAGGGTGAGAGAGCTGGAAGCCTCAGTTCCCAGCTGGGGGATCCGCTGGGGAAGTAGTGGCTGAGAAAACCACTCTGAGATGAAGAGGCCCCCTTATTCTTTTAGTGGTCACAGACCCTTTGGATCATTTTTTGAAAATTCATGTGAAAAACACATGTGCAGGACACCCCCCAGGCCCGTCCATGCTGCCTGGCCTCCCCCAGGCCCATCGGCCTCCCCCAGGCCCGTCCATGCTGCCTGGCCTCCCCCAGGCCCGTCCATGCTGCCTGGCCTCCCCCAGGCCCGTCCATGCTGCCTGGCCTCCCCCAGGCCCGTCCATGCTCCCAGGCCTGTGCTAAGACCCTGCTCCAAGGCTTCCCTCCCAGCCCATAGTAGGCAAAGGGAAACAGGGAGGAGAGGACGATGCCAGCAGTGACTTTGTTGGCCCTCAGGTTGACCAGAAGAGAGGAAGAGGAGGATGCAGAGAGCCAGGTCACGGTAGGCAGTCCCCAGCACCCCTCCCCAGTCCCCATCCACTCCAAGCCCGCAGAGGCTGAGTCGTTCATTTCAACTCTTCCCAAGCCCCAACCTCACACCCCAACTCCTCAGGAGCAGAGAGAAAAATCATTTGGCCAAGAGATAACAAGGCCCTTGCTGTAGCTAATGAGAGCGATGGCGAGGTGGAGGGAGGCCTGGAGGCTGGTGGGCGGCCAGGCTGCTCCCAGGGGAGCCCCCCAGCCACACACACAGGGCTGCAGCCACCACACCGCAGGTCTCGTAGACGTGGCTGCACCCCCGGATTGCATAAATGCACACGCACATGCGCCCACACTCGGGAGAGGTTGGGCTGGCCCTCCCTAGCCAGCCTCAGAACTCCCTGGGGGCACAGTGCCCACAGCCCCCCTGCCTGCAGCCACACAGGCCAGCTCCTCTGCTCCTCAGAGCCCAGTGCCCGGTGGAGGTGAGGATTTCTGTTCTCAGGCAAGGACAGGGAAAGAAACTCGGTAAGGAGAGGTGAGGAGCCCTCGGTTCTGAGCTGAGGAAGGCAGGAGCTGGGCTGGAGTCTGCCTGTTGTGTGTCAGGCACTGTCAGGGCCCTTGGGGCTCTCCAGGGTCCAAACTGGCCAAGATGGCTGCCTCCATGACGCTTAGGTCCCAGCGCCCTGGCCCCGAAGCCCACCTCCTCTCGACATACCACACTCCCTTGCAGAGACTGGGCTCCACCTCAGCTTCCTCACAGCTCACACGGGGATAACCTCTTCCTAGCTCCTAGGGTGGGGAGGAGGGTTAAGGACCACGTCATAAAGGGCCTGGGTCCCTGCCTGGCACAGCAGGTGGTAAAGGTGAACATACTGATTGTGATTGGTGTTCTGTTTTTATTTACTGCCATTATTATTGTCATTCATCATCCTCATCTGAGTCGAAAAGGTGTGGGGGTAGGAAGGCCAGAGATCCATAGAGGTGAGGCCCTTCCAGGGAGACATGGGGGATGAGGCGGCACAGTGAGTGGGGCCTAACCCTGGAGGGACAGCTGGGGCTTTGATCTTTGAATCTTCAGATGAGGTGTTGGAATTAATCAGTGAATTTAGCATGGTTGCTGGGTGAAAGGTCAAAATAAAAAATCAATCATATTTCAGTATAGCAACCATGAACAATGAGAACAATACATTTGTAATTATGCCATTTATAATGGCATGGTGTTTTTGTTTTGTTTTTGTTTTTGAGATGGAGTCTCGTTCTGTCTCCAGGCTGAAGTGCAGGGGCGTGATCTCAGCTCACTGCAACCTCCGCCTCCTGGGTTCAAGCGATTCTCATGCCTCAGCCTCCTGAGTAGCTCGGATTACAGGCACGTGCCACCACACCCAGCTAATTTTTGTATTTTTAGTAGAAACGTGGTTTTGCCATGTTGGCCAGGATGGTCTCCGTATCCTGACCTTGTGATCCGCCCTCCTCAGCCTCCCAAGGTGCTGGGATTACAGGCGTGAGCCACCGCGCCTGGCCTATAATGGCGTGTTTTTAATTAGTAAAGCGTCTGCTGATTCTGGCATAGGCAGGAAGACAGGATTCTGCATGAGGCCAGCACAGGGGTGGGCACCTGTGGAAGATGTGGTCTCTGCCCTCGGAGAGCTTACTTGGGTTTTTATGTGAAGTCTGCTAGTTGTTTAAGAAAATGGAGGTGATGATATTGAATAGCTCACACAGACACGGAGTACTCACTAGGTACCAGGCGCTGTCCAAGCTACTGCCCTCACCTTTTTTTCCCCCCACATTTACTCATTTAGTCACCATGTTAACCCTATGAGGTGGGGACATCCCTGGCCAGCAGATGCGGAAAGAGAGACACGGAGAGGTGTGGTGACATGCCAAGGACCCTCAGCCAGAGGCTGGCAGAACTGGGAACCCAGCCTGGCAGCACATCTCAGAGAAGTGCACTCACTTAACTCCTGAGCTCCACCACCTTCTGTGTGGGCGCTTATGTCCAGTGGGCTGACCTGAGGACCTCTCAGTCCAGAACCCAGTGCTTCAAATGAATCTCTTTTGTCTTCCCAGGCTGATCTCCCTATGCCTCTAGGAGACCCTCGCCCTGGAGACATCCCAGAAAGCCCTCCAGAGAGGTAATAGGACCCATGGGGTCCTGGAGGGAAATTGGGGACGAGGAAAAACCCAGTGGTGATTCCTCCTTTCCCCCAGCAGGCCTGCGCAGCAGGAACTCCAGCAAGCCTTGGTGCCTGTGATGAAAGAGCTGGTCCCAGTCAGGAGGAGGCCCTGGGGCCAGCTCTGCCTGCCCCCACAGCGGCTCAGGTGTGCCCCCAGGCATCTCCAGAAGGAAGGAGGTGGTCTGACCTTGGGAAGAGCAGGGGCTGCCCGGACCCTCCCCTAAACGCTCTCCCACCTCCCCACCAGGGTCACTCGACATCCACTGATCCCAGCTCCGGTCCTGGGCCTGCTGCTGCTGCTGCTGCTCTCTGTCCTGCTGCTGGGCCCGTCCCCACCTCCCACCTGGCCCCACCTCCAGCTCTGCTACCTGCAGCCCCCTCCAGTGTGAGAGGCTCCACTTGCCCCTCAGAGCAGCGTCTAGCTCAGTAAATCCCCCAGCCCTCTCTCCACTCAGATCCCCATTGTTAGTCCAGTGTTGCGCCGGCTTACCCCAGATACAGTACGGGGGATCCACATCCCTGTGTTGGGTTTTTATGTGAAGTCTGCTAGTTGTTTAATGTTGACATTTCTTAACAATAGCAAAACTCCCCAGTAATGGATTAAGCACTAAGGATTATTCCTTCACAAAACAAGCCTGGCAAGGGCAGCTGTGGGCACACAGCTAAGTCTCGTTGCGTCAGGGTCGAGGCCTCAGTGATTCTCCTGTCCCCTCCCTCATGCTCAGGAGTTGGCGATTGTAGCTTCCTACGTCACATCTGCGGGAGATGGAAACTTTTCCCTTCCTTTTTATAAAGAGAGGCAGTAGCCTCCGTGTGCAGTGGGTACATTCAAATCATACTCGTAATAAAAGAGAAGCAGTTGCCTGCCCAGAGCCACCAGCAGACTTGTGTTTGTTTCGCTAGCCAGACTGTTTGGTGTGACCACCCTTTACTGTAAGGGAGCCTGGGAGACCTGGGAGGTCAAGTACCTCTGCGGAGACTGGGTACCTTGAAAGTGCCTTGCCACACACCTCCTTCACACTGAAAACCACTGCAGGGCATGGACCCAACAAAACACTTTGGGAGTCACCTACACACCACCACCAGTGTGCAGCTGCTGAGTGGCCTTGGCACGCATCGCCAGGCTGCTTTGAAGGGCTCCAGGATATCTCCTCTCCCTGATCTCTTTCTCCCTCCTACCTTCTCTACACCTCTGCCTTGCCCTCCTGCAAAAGGATCCTGACTCTGTCCTGCCACCCCACCATGGGTAGGAGCCTAGGTTGACCCAGTCCTAACTGCATCCTAACTTTTGAAATTGCACATACCTGGATTCCAGTTATCCTTTGTCGCTTAGTAGCTCTAACAACTTAGGAAAATTCCTCCTGACTTTCAGTCTTATTTGTAAAATTAGGCCAACTCCAGATAGTTTTGAGGAATACAGTCAACTGATTCGGCTGGAAGGTTACAGAATTCTTTCCAGACAAGTGACATTTGTGTTTAGTCTTGAAAGATGGGTAAGGTTTGGCTTACAGTCAGCAGGGGCCCAGGGAGGGTGTCATAGAGGTGGGAAAGAGACCAGTGTGTGTGGAGAGCCATGGGCAGCATCCTGTTGCTGGATTTAAAAAAAAAAAAAAAATTAAAAAGATTTGGAGTCGGGAAGGGATTGAAGGTTACAGAGTGGTGGGAAATAAGAGAGGTAGGCAAGAGGCCGTGAAGGAATTTGAACACCAGCTTGAACTTTATTCCCCAGTGCCGGTGAAACGGCTGTGAGCAAGGGAAGGTAGAACTCTGGGTGGGAAGAAGAGGTTCGGGGCCTGTGGAGGAGATGAATGAATGAAGGGGATGAGAATGAAGGCCAGCAGGTGGGGAGGAGTCTGGGGCTGTGGTCCAGGTAGGAGAGAATGAGGCCTGAGGCAGGGCATGCGGGTGGAGAGGAGGGAAGAGCAAAGCCAGGACAGGGCGGGAGGGACCAGGCTGGAGACTGACAAGCTGTAAAGGATAGCGAAAGGGGCAGGACAAGGACAACCCCTGGGACCTGGTCCAGTGACTAGGAGACAGTGGAGCCATTCCCAAGATAGGGAACCCATGATAAGGAGTGCGTTCAGGGAAAGACTCAGTTCATTTAGGGGCTGGAGTCCTGAGCTCTGAGCTCCCAGGCTGGAGAAGGGGGTCTGGGTGTTGTCAGCTGTGGGTGGTGGCGGAAGCTGTGGGGACTGCTGAATTTGCTTGAGAGTAGAGTGGGGAGGGAGGAGGTTCCAGACACCATTTTGGTCAAAAACCTCAAATGTTCAGAAACGGATCAGGGAAAAAATAGAGTGTGGGAAGAGACCAGGCCAGTACCCAGCTACCAGGCCCTCGGGGAAACAGGAGGAGGCTCTTCATAGGGTCGTTGTGAGGTTAAAAGAGCTAATACAAGCACAGCACTTAGAAGAGTGCCTGCTATATAGCAACTGCTCATTAACATTTTAATTCCATTTCTCCATGAGAGTAATGGAAAAGTCGAGACTTTTGAAATTGCACATACCTGGTTTCCAGTTATCCTTTTGTCGCTTAGTAGCTCTAACAACTTAGGAAAATTCCTCCTGACTTTCAGTCTTATTTGTAAAATTAGGCCAACTCCAGATAGTTTTGAGGAATACAGTCTTTCCTTTGTTATTTGGAACGACAGAGAAACAGTCCCGCCCCCACAGTTCAAGGGCCAATTAGGGCTCGGTCCGCCTCCCGAAAATGCAAACTTTGGGAGACCTTGCCAACCACATGCGGCGGCCCCGCTTCCCGCGCAGCAGACGCGGCCAGCTCCACCCTCTTCTTTAAACCAATGAGAGCGCGGTCCGCACGAACGGCGCCCCAAGCGCGCTGATCTGGCCCTCTGTGGGCCATGGGGTTGCCATGGTTACCCTTGGGGGCGGAGCTGAAGGGCAGGCTGGACCTCCCGGGAGAGAGACAGATTTTGATTGGCTCTTTTCTCACTTCACCTGCAGCCCAGGTAGCTCCCCGCCCTTTCCCTGTCCTTTTTGGAGCCTGACGCCTACTCCTCTCTCCTCTTCTCCTGCCCCAGCCTGGCGCCCCGGTGGTCTCCCGAGAAGGAGACCTGAAGTCGGAAAACCCTGAAAAAAAAAAAATCGCTGGAGGCTGCTGTGAGAGGAGGAAACCCTTTTCAAAAAAAAAAAAAAAGCATTTTGCTACGTGACAGGCGCTGTGCTGAAATCTTATGAAGGATAGCTTATTGGATCCTCGAAGCAGATGAAGAAAAGGAGGCACGGAGACTGACGTCAAGAAGGCTTTCTCAATACTACGCAGCTAGATTTGGAGGACCCTGGGTTTGGATGCTAGGGCTGCCTCACACCAGGGCCCACGATCTTTCCACTGTGCCTGGGGAGAAGTCTGGAAGTGATGGGAGGGAGAAACAGCGAAATGCAAAGGTGAGAGCTGGTGGAGAGACAGAAACCTAACGGAGGAAAAAAAGGAAGATATGAAGGAGTCAGGCAGAGGAAAAAGGAAAAAAGAAAGTGAGGGAGAAGGAAAGGAAGAGTTTCAGAGGCAGAAGGAGAATAGAGAGAGGAGGCAGAGATTCTCAGAAGACCAGAAAGCCAAGAGAGTAAAAGGGGAGATACCCGCAAGGACTCAGGGAGACAGGGACACATACCCAGAGAGGAAAGAGACCCAGAGAGGAAAGAGACCCAGAGAGGAAAGAGACCCAGAGAGGAAAGAGACCCAGAGAAGGGGGCAGAGACAGAGGAGGACAGAGACCTTGGAGATTACAGAGAAACAGAAGGGGACAGAGACGGGGGTAGGGAGGGACAGGGACCCAGAATGAAAGGAGGGGACAGAGCGGAGGTGGGGGGCGGTAGGGAAGCAGAGATCCAGAAATAGGAAAGAAGCTAGCTTCCTGGACAAAGACAGAGGCAGAGAAACGGAATTGAGGAAAGAAAATAGAGTGGGAACTGAGGGGAGAGATGCCAGAGTGGCCGACGCAGAGTTCTGTCTCTTTTCTACCCCAACCTTTCCAGCCCCGCGCCCCCAACCCAACGCACACGCAGGTCGCACAGGAACGAGGCGCATTCCGGAGCAGGGTCTTTATTAAGATGGGGACAGGCGGCGCGCTCAGCGCGCGTCCAACACCAACAGCTTGTGCATGTACGAGTTCAGCCAGTGGCGGCGCTCGAGGGCGGCCAGCAACCGCGCGCGCTCCCGGAAGGCCGCGTCGTCCGCCAGCGCCAGGCTCCTCCGCGGCCGGGGGGTGGCGGGATCCGCCCAGGCCGGTCCTGGGGGGCGGAGGCTGTGGAGAGACTCGGTGACCGCGCGTCCAGATCCGCGCTCGCCGCCGCCTGTCCTCCCCGCGGTCTAACTTGAAGCCCTATTACTGCCCCGTCGGTGGAGTGGGTCGGTCCGGCTCCCTCTGTCTCGTTCTCTGTGTGAGTCTCTGTCTCTCTGCTCACCAGGTTCGAAACTCCCCGGGTACTGAGACCGAGTCTGATGCACTTGTCCGCCCACAGCGCTCAGCACATGGCCAGGCGCACACCAAGAACCCACTAAACGTTGCTCAAAGAACGAATCCATTTCTGCATCGGCTCCTTTCCAGCCTTCTCCATGCCTTTCTCGGGGTCTATCTTTCTGTGTCTCTTTCCCTTGCTGATTCTCTGTCCATTCCCGCACCACCACCACCACCAAACCCTCCTCCCGCCTTCCACCACCCCTAGTCTCTGTCTTCTCGCTGGGCCTCGGTCGCCCTCTCTTTGGGCTTCTGTCCCTCTTTCTGGGTCTTCTGTCCCCTTTCTCTTTGGTTCTCTTCCCACTTCTCCAGGTCCCCACCCCTCCCTGGGAGTTCTGGCCCTAGCACCTACCTGAGGACCCCGACCGGGGGCAGGGCGACTCCCGAGGCAGTGCGGACGCCCCAGGGCACCACTAGCAACAGCAGCAGCAGCAGCCGAACCCGAGGGCTCCTGGACACCTGGCGGGTCTCCATCACCTGTGAACCAGAAAGGGGCTCAGTGGGGCTGCATCCCGGCCCAGAAACCCCGGCCCTACCATGCACCCACCCCCAGCTTCCCGCACGGTCCCCTACCGCGCAGTGGGCTCGGGCAGCGATGCTGGCAGCCCCCTTATATTGCCTCCACAGCCCCCGCACCGGGCAGTGACGCAGGCCGGGGGGCCGGGGGCGCGGGGTCACCCCCTCCCCAGGCTCATTAGGAGCCGCCAGCGGTAATGAGGAGCTGGGGGTGGGGGACCTGCCGCTGCCTTGGCCGCCACCAACTAATTGGGACCAGAAGCTGGACCTGAGACGAGGGAGGGGGAGAGACAGACAGACAGAGAGGTGGACACAGGGGGTGTGTCAGAGGGCTAAAAATAGAGACTGGCGGAAGGACCGTCAGAGGAACAGAGACACAAAGAGAAGGACAAAGACAGAGTGGCCGAGGAAGAAATAGAAAGGGAACGACGGAAAAAGAAAGGAAAAGGAAGAAAACAAGAAAAGAGAGCAAAGGAGATGGAAACGAACAGTCAGACGGAGATGGAGGAGAGAAAGAAAAGGCTCTCAGAAAGACAGACGGCAATAGAAGGACGTCCTGGCCTGGACCGAGCTGCCCAGAGATAAATGCAGCAGGGAGAGGCCCAGAATGACCGAGGGTGAGATGGTGAGGGGGGGAAAGGCAAGAAATGGCAAAGGGTACGTGTGGCAGGGGTGTGAGGACAGGAAAAGTGACAGACAACGTCAGAAAAGCCTCAGAGAGAGAGTGAAGAGGGGAAAACAGACAGGGCTCCTGAGCTGCCCTGAGGATGCGTCTAAGTCCTTATCTGGGAGGAGTTTGGGGGTGCTGTTAAAATTAAAGCCCTCACACTGACTCTTTTTTTGTGTTTGTTTGTTTGAGATGGAGTCTTGCTCTTGTTGCCCAGGCTGG